TATCTCGCAGGCGCATCTTCGTCCGTCTTTTCCGGCCTTTCCCCCCCGCCAGACCGACGGGCGTCCCAATGGATGGGCACTTTTGCACTGTGAAATGCAGCCTTTTTCCAACCTCTGCAACGCTTCGGTGGTTTGCCTGGATATATATATTTTTTAATGAACAAATATCCACCCAATGCTCTTTTTTATAATATATCCCTCCCCCCCACCCCTTTAAATCTTCTCCAGCATCCGTTTCTCTTCCTTTGAAAAGTGCCGGAGTAAAATTCACTGTACGGAGAAAATCTCGGTGGTTTAGGAAGCCATATTGTATGATACTAAGCCATCTGTCCAACTGCGAAGGGGTCTGGAAGGTTTCTCACACTACTTATGGGATTTATTTATTTTTCTTCTCTCTCTGGTTGCGCCTAGTGCTTAGGGATGGACGTTGAAAAACAGGAGTGGGAGAAGTGTCCAAAAGGATTGCGTATCTGCTCTGTCTCGTCCGATCACCGCGTCTCCATTATGTCGCGCGCAAAAAAAAAAGACATCGCAAAAACTGCCAAGGGAACCACACACACTGTTTGGGACTTCCTCCCTTCCTTCTTTTACTCTGCACAACCCGTCAACCAAGACACAACCTGATGTGTAAACATTTTCAAATTCTAAAGAAAAACAAAAACACTTACGTCTCGTGTCTCCGTGTGTGCATTTGCAAGACGTGTGTAAAAAGCCGGTTGTACGACTCAAATGTTTTTGCAAACTTGGGCAAATTTTAAGGTGGAGGGAAATCTCAACATGCTGGCCGGGGGGATTCTGGGAATTGAGGTCCACCCATGTTGGCTGGGGGATTCTGGTTGTTGGAAGTCCACAGGTCTTAAAAGTTGGCCGAGGTTGGACACTCCTGATCTGAAACACCTCTGCTTGGAAAGAATGTAGATCTGTTTTATTTTATTTTATTTATTGGAACCGAAGGGCTCCAATCTGATCCAGAATTAGAAACCTGGCAATTCTCACCCATCACCCCCTTAAATCCCAGGATAGCAGAAAGGTAGCAGGCAAACTGGAACGTCTTGATGGAAGGAAAGCCTCCCCGCTTTTCAATCCAGGCAGATCTCTTTGCCTTTTCAAACAGGGCAACATTTCAGTTTGAAGGAGGTTTATCGTGCCCTGCAGCGGAGTCGAGCACCTTGACCAAGTTTGGTTCCCGCCGGATTTAGCCAAAGCGGCTTGGCTGGGAAGCATTTATCTCTCTTTTCAATGTCTTCACCATCACTACAAGGTTCCTATTAGCCCTCTTTTTTCTCCACCTGTCCTAATGTCATCTTTAAATGTGTCCTGTTGGCACCGGAAATGGGAAAAATCTTCACTTTTAAGGAGACAGTCGGGAGGGGGATAAAATTATTGCAGGTGGAAATGCTCAGTTTGGACGTTTGGAGGGTCTGGCTTAACCTGTTCCATCTTTTTCGTTTTGTTTCATTATGTTCCTATGTTTCTGTGTGCATGATACTGTCAGGCGCCTTGCTGTTGTCGTACGTGACTGCCATCTTCTCTCCTGCCACCCGAGTATGCTTTGTATCCAGCTACCACAGTTGTATGTGAACCTCTTAATTAAAGGAACTGGGAAGGTTTTGCTCACCGTCTTTGTTTCTTTGCAAAAACATGCCCGGAACCACATCACAAATTGCCCCATGGGGCCTATTTTAACCCGTGTCCATTTCCTTCGGTTGGGCTTCGTTGGGTTCAACTTTCCCTGGCAATTCCCTCGATTTATTTATTTTTTTTGTTGCAAATATACCCTCCTGTGTAACCTTTTCTTCACCAGGCAAAAATAATCACCAAGGGATTAACTCAGTTGCAGTATCTTGGAAACTTTGGGTATTGGTAAGGATGCAGAGAGAGAGAAGGTGGTCTGTTTGTAGCTCCTGCTAAACCACTGAGGCCAAGCCGGAAAGCAGGCAAACGACTTGGATCTTGAGTGATTTTTATTATTATTATTATTATTCGTGGATAAAATAATTTCCCTGGTGTTGGTGGCAGGCCTTTCTTAATTTGGGAAGCCATCCCTTCTTCCGGTGTATCATCTGATAGTAGCTCATCCTTATCCCGAATTTAAACGTGCCAGAACAGTCTGGAAAACACACCCACTACAGAACAAGCGCTCCTCCTCTAACTGAACAGAGGATGCCATCAGCCGACTAAGGTGGTTCAGAAGACTGCTTTAATTAGTTCAATTAGCTACATCAGCACCCTGTACAAGCATTTCCCAGTTGGACAGGTGGCACAATATTGATTGCCTTGGACCGTCTGGATTCTTCTTTTTAAGAGCTTGCAGTTTTGAAAAAGAGAACGACACATGCAAAGGGTACATACAATCCAGCCAAATTAACCAAAAAAAAAAAAAAAATTAAATAAGAACAGTTTCATTTGGCGAATTTCAAAGGAAGAATATTAAATCTGCCTTTAGTGGTGCTTTGGAAACCAGCACGATTTCCTCTGCAGGATGGGATGCCCTGCAGAATTTTAAACACATGCCGGCTACCGTATTTTCTCTCGCATGCGTCTGTTTGATTTCCCTCTGGGGTGAATTGCGTGGCCTGTTCCAAGAACGGATTAATAATTAACTGCTTGCAGTGGGGAACAGAGTTTACACAAGGTAGCTGAGCAACTGTTTGATTGCCAGAGGAGGCTACGAATTGGCCGGTGCATAGTTCCGCTGGGCCTGTGCGTAACCCAGTTTTGTACCGGTAGGGTGAACAGGCCAGGCAAGATTGAAAGCGGGAGGGATTGGAAAGAAGGGGGGAATCTCTTGCCCGTTAAGGAAGGTTATGTGCAAATTGCACAAAGTGGCTATCCGAGAATGAATGATTGACTGTGAATGCTCTCTGGCCAGAAGAGGAGGAGGAGATGGATGGAAGGAGAGAAAGAGCAGGAAAAGGAGGGTGGAAGACAAAAAAGAAGGAAAGAGAAAAGAAGAAAAGGAGAAAGATGGAAGGAGAAGAAGGAAAGGAAGAGAAGGAGAAAGGATAAGAATAGCAGGAAAGAAGACGATGGAAGGAAGAGAAGAAGAAAAGGAAGAAAAGAATGAAAGGAAGAGGAGAAAGAAGGGTGGAAGGAAAAGGATGGAAGGAAAAGGAGGAGGAGCATGGGAAGAAGAGAAAGAGGAGAAGGATGGAAGGAGAAGGAGAGAATTTAAAATTAAAACCCGCAGCAACTAATGCAGAATTAAACGAACAGCCCAGGCAGAGACGGTAGGTTTTGCCAGGCCTCTTCTTGCGAGCTTACAACGCCATCTTTTGCCTTTCTCACTAGCAGAAGCTGAAATCAAATCCCACACCGGGACTGAGCAGCTGGCAACCTTCCAGGCATTCGTTGGGGTCCAACCAACCTTCTCCCGTAGCCCAAAATCAAGAATCGGCCCATCTGGAAACCCCTAAACGGCTCTTTAATCTTCCCCCGACTGGCCGGGAAGCCACTGTACCCTTCAAAGGCGAGGTGAATCACCTGTGCCTGGAAGGAGAGGAACTGAGGCAGCCGGAGAATTGGGCCAGGTGGTCTCATTCCAGGTTCCCCTGAAGCTCTTGGGCCTCCTTGCTGGGGGTGGGGGGGTTAGGGAGAGGGGAAGGGGAGTGGCGCAATGCCAGGTGGATTGAAGGAGACCCCGTAGGCCTGAGCTCTCTCCTCCTCCGGCAGCCAGACCAGGGGGAGGATGAGTCATTCTCCTTGCTGGTATGGAGCCGTTGCGGTAGCCCAGGCTCTGATGGGAGGGTTTTGCATCGCTTGGCAAGGCTGGGCATTTTTTTTCTCAGCGTGACGGGGAGTTGCTCCTTTGCTCGACTTCCCTCCCAGATCCTCAAAATTACGGACGAGGGAGATCAGCGGCCTCTCTAGCTGCAAGAAATCCCTTGGGAAGCGCCCCCATCAAAAACAGCCCTGAATTTGTTAGGGGTTCTTTTCTTTTCTTTTCTCCTGCATCCTCTCTCTCTCTCTCTTTCCCCCCCTGCACCCCACAAGGAGAACCTGGTGGAATTACATTCCCTAACCTCAGCTGGATGAGAAGCTGAAGAGACCGGCCCCTGGGGAAATCAAGGAGCCCTTGGGGCAGAAAGGGAGGGGGAGAGCCCCCCCCCCGCAAAGGCTTGGGCAGCGTGGCCTGGGCCTGCCTTCTGGCACCTGGACATGCCTCGTTGGGGCAAAACCTTTTGCAAACAGCCACCGGATCATCTTTGCCATTTCGGGGTCTGCTCCGTTACTGCAACATCCCCATTTTCATCTGGAACGAAAGTCCATCGCCCCGATTAGCTTGCTGGAAAAGGAAACGATGGTACAGGTTAGGGGGAGCTGAGCAGAGACAAATAAAGTCCTGTTTAGCTGCCCTCCACCATTCCCCACCCCACCCTGGGATTGTTCCGACCCAAACCCTTTTCCAGTAAAACACAACCCAAAGGGAACAGAAACCTTTTAATGGTTCTTACGAATCCTCGGTTAAAAGGCTGCTGCAAACTAACTTTGAGAAGCACGAGCCTCGCCAAAACTGTGCGAGGCTGCCAGATAAGAAATATTTCACAACACAAGAGTCTTCAAATACCAACTAAGATACTGCAACATCCACGAGGCTGAGTTTCAAAACGTCTTTGCTTCCTGCAAAGAACATCCAATTCACAGCTGGCTTTTATCTTCTTGAAGGAGGGGCCATTACCTTGCAGCCTTATTCCAGAGTCACCCGTGCTGTTGTCGCTGCTCTTTCCTGCGAGCAATCCTACACACACATGCACTTGGCACAGGCTCCTCGGGAACCTCCTCATCGCTGCTGCCAGCCCCCACAATCTCTGAAGGCAGCAGTCCACTCCCTGACGGTCCTGGCCCCTCATCTGAGTCCTCGCTCTCCTCAGCCGTCCGCACCTGCTGCCGGCTAACCACAAAAGGGATTCCCCGAAAATGGCAAAATCCAGAAGGTGAATGGATTGATTGCCTGGAAGCTATAAGGTTTCCAGTGGTGGTGAAAATAAAAAGAGAATTGAATTGACGTCTGTCAATCAGCGGTGTTTCACCCTGCACTTTAGGAAGCCTGATTTTGTTAAGACTGATGCTCGGGGTGTCAAAAGTGCCTTTTCCAAAAGGCAAATGGACTTACATTTTTCCTTGAGGAGGTTTTGCTTCTCATCCAAGAAGCTTCTTCCGTTTTGACGGAAGCTCTCTTCTTCCTTTCATCAGAACGGGAGAAGCTTCTTGGATGAGAAGTGACAGCTCTTCAAGGAAAAACAAAATCTAGTTGCCTTTTGGGGAGAAAAACACCTTTGGGACAACCATGACTTAGGTGACTGACAATCTCCGTAGACAGGACGCTCGGGGTGTTTTGAAGTGCAGATATGGAGACAGAAACGAGCATCTTGTCTGAGTAAATTTCAAGGTAAAATAAGAACTTCTGAAGGAAAACGCAGCCGGTTTTTAGTTAGGAAGTCAATGACGCTCACCCTGTCCAAGCAGGCCAGCTGCAACCAAGCTTGTTGTGGCAGTAGAAAGTTACTAACCTTGTTTATTTCTTTATGCCGGTCTTTCGTGACAATCTCCTCCAAGATCTCTCCGTCGCCCTTAATAAGTCTGCAAGAGAAACACCTCCACTTGGTACCCCACGCAACCTGCTTTCTGTTGATGTTGGGGCAGCATGATTCTACAGAGCTTGTAAAATTATTACAGGGAAGGAACTGAGTGGTGCGGTGGCCTAGAGGTGGAGCTTTCGCCTCACAATCAGGAGGCGGTGAGTTCGATCCCAGGTAGCGGCCGATATTTCTCTCCCTGTGTACAATGAGTAATTATCTGCTGTGAACTCCGCATTGGTGACAGGAAGGGCATCTGGCCAGTAACCATTCTGCTCCATTCAGTTGCCAAGTTTTCAACCCGACGCAAGGGATTACGGGGTCATTAAAAGACAAAGATTACAGGGAAGGAATCGCCATTCAACCCAGCCGCCCTGCTCCTACCTCATTCGGCCTGTTTCGGGGTCGAGGACTTTCCGTATAACGCTCTGGCGGGCGTCCCATTCCTCTTTCGTCATCGGCTTCATGGCCTGGATGCGGAATTTCTGCTCGTCCGTGAGGGCTGAAAGAGGAACCTCCGTCAGAAAATAAAAGGATGCTATTTAAACTCTTCAATAGACCATAGAAAAGGCTCTGGCTTTTACCCCATAGGGAGAAAGGACCCAGGGGATTTAGTCTGCATGGGGGGGGGGGGGGGGGGAACTACTGGGGGAAGGGAGGGGGGGAGGGAGGGAAGGAGGAGGAAAGAAAGGAAGGGGAAAAGGAAAGGAGGGAAGGAAGGGAAAAAAACCCTGTTCATGATGAACAAATGTTAGGAATGTAAGTCACCTAACAGGTATTTGGGTTGGAAATATATAAACCAGGATAAATATTTTAATACTGTACCTTTAAGAAAATACTAAAGTGTAATTGGGTGTGGTTTCTCAAACGGCCATAAGATGGAGCCAGAAACCTGGGTTGTTTAGTCTTAGTCTTAGTCTCAGAAGTGAGTGAATCTCTGTTTCCTTCTGTTGGAGAGTTTTGCCGTTCCTCCGTTTTTCCTTCTAATTGACTGCTATTCCTGGATTTGATGTAAGTCTGATACTGAACTGTTTTTGACACTGGACTTTGTTATTGGATTATCCCTGGACTGAAAACTGATTTAACTTGTGAATGACTTTGGACTGCCTATTTTGAACTTTGCTTAAACCTTTATGGAAAGTAAAAACCTACATTTAACTGTACAGTGTATCTGTATGCTGTGTGTGCATTATTCTTCTCTCACTACGTCTCCCTGTATGTGCTCAGTCTCCTAATGGGAAATTACCTCAACAACAACCATTGTTGGAAGGGAGGGAGGGAAAAAGGAAGGAAAGGAAAGAAGGAAGGGGAAAGGGAAAGGAGGGAAGGAAGGGGGGGAAAACCCTGTTCTTCATGAACAACGATTGTGGAAAGAGAGGGAGGGAGGAAAGGAAGGAGGGAAGGGGAAAGGAAAAAGAGGGAGGGAAGGAAGGAAGGAGATTGAGGCAGAAGGAAGGGAAAGGGAAGGAGGGAAGAAGGAAGGGGGACTTATTTTATGTTACAAAAGCCTCTCAATAGTACCTCCAACCCTCTTTTTTGGAGAATTTTTTTTTCCAGGCTCGCTTTAACTGAGTTTACAAATGCCAGCCTTACCAGGTCCAGAATCCGACCCAGCCTCCTTCTGCCACTGGTCCAGCGAAGGGCCGGGGGCCTCCTCCTTCTTAGGTCCCTCCTCTTTTCCCTTTTCCTTCTTGGCTTTCTTCTTCTTCTTTTTCTCTTTTCGTTTTCTCCGCTTCTTATCTTTCCCTTTGGATGCTTTCTTCCTCCTCTGCTTTTTCTTTTCGGATTTGGGCTTGTTGTCGCCGGACCCGTCCGAAGAGGCGCTGGAAGAGGAGGCCGATTTGGAAGAGGAGAAGGAAGAAGAGCTGGTCTCGGAGGAAGAGGAGCTGCTGTCCTTCCTCTTCCTTTTCTTCTTCGTTTTCTTCTTCTTTTTCACTAGAAGGCAGCATGGAACAGAAGATAAACGGGGGCTGAAATCCAGGAGATCTGATCCCACCGGCTTCATTTATTATTGTTCTGACCCAAACCTGGTTCCAAGGAAACCAACACCAAACGGAGGTCACAGCAAAACCTTTTAATGATTCTTTACGAATTCCATTCCTTCACGATTAAAAGGCTGTTTCAAACTAACTGTCTTTGGTAAGAATGAGCCTTGCCAAGGTGGTGCAAGGCTGCCAAGAACACTAGATAAAGTTACTAAGAAATATTTCAAACCCAAGGAGTCTCCAAACACAAACTTAGAGAGTCAGAACATCCACCAGGCTTGAGTGCAAAAAAACTTCTTTGCTTCCTGCAAAGAACTCCGGTTTCTCAGCCGGCTTTTATCGCTTAAGGGAGGGGCCATCCCCTTGCAGTCTTACTCCCGAGTTGCCCGTGCTACTGCAGCTGCTCTTTTCTTCGAGCAGCCCTGTGCGCATGTGCACTGGGCACAGGCTCCTCGGGGGTCTCTTCCTCACTGCTGCCAGCCTCCATAATCTCTGAAGGGGACCAGGACCATCTCCCTGATGGCCCTGGCCCCATCCCAGCATCCCACGCAGGCCCCTCAACCGTCCGCATCTGCTGCCGGTGAACCACAACAATTGTCGTGTCACAAGAGAACCACAAAATAATTCATCACCAAGTGGGTGTGTGCAAAGTAATTCTCCTTGCTAGTCCTACCGAGACCCAACCTGTCTGGAGACCACATCTGAACGGAGTGAGCTGGCTAACCAACTTCTTCAAAATAATTTGGGCTTTTCTGCAACCCTGCAAGTGAAGTCGTCGGTATCAACCTGCTCCTTAAAGCAGTGTTTCTCAACCTCAGCCCCTTTTAAGATGGGTGGAGTTAAATTCCCAGAATTCCCCCCCCACACACACTTTTTTTCCCCCAGGCTGCCTTAAAAATCATGCCTGCAAACAGCGAGAACCGCCACTAAATCTGAGCTTCCTGTTTCAAATGTTAAAATTGCTCAAGTTTCTGGGGGAACTCCTGGGAAGTTTTAAGGAAGGGAAAACCAAGATTTAAGCATAGTTCACAAAATTGTCTGCTACAAGGTCTTGCCCGTTAATGACTTCTTCAGCTTCAACCACAAGAACATACGGGCAAAAAACTGATACAAGCTCAAAGTAAACCGCTCCAAACTCGACTGAATTTCTTCCCTTTAAAAACTGTTCTTGGGAGAGTTTTTTTCTCCAGCTGATGATAACTGGATATTGGGGGCCAAGTTGGAGGAATTAAAGGGACTTTACCGACTTTTGTCACTTGGTTGCTTTTGTGCCACGCCCCTTTGGGTCATCACATCTGACATCATGTTTATGTTCATACCGACACTTGTTATCTTGGATATGTTTGACAAACAAATAAAATAAAATACGATACGTCAAAGCCAAGGAGGACCCTCCTGTGAACTGCCAGGGAACCAAGATGGAAGGTCGAGGAGAAATCCGCATCGTTCTTCCATCTTTCAACAACACTCACTTGAGGACGCAACTGTGCATTTGTTAAGATTCACAGCTATCATCAGCTGGAGAAAAAACTCTCCCAAGAACAGTTTTTAAAGGGAAGAAATTCAGTCGAGTTTGGAGTGGTTTACTTTGAGCTTGTATCAGTTTTTTGCCCATGTGTTCTTGTGGTTGAGGCTGAAGAAGTCATTAACGGGCAAGACCTTGTAGCAGACAATTTTGTGAACTATGCTTAAATCTTGGCTGCAATTTTGGGAAAAGCTCACCGTCTTTGGAAGAGGATAAACTCATCCTGAATTCCTGGGGTTCAGATTCTTTTTTGCTTGCCGGGGATCGGCTCTTCCTCTCTCGGGAATCTTTGCTACTCTTCCTCCTTTTCTTATCTTCCTCCTTGTCTCGTCGGCTCCGGGAATCACTTCGACTCCGGGAATCACTTCGACTCCTCCTGCGTTTCTTAGTCTGGCTGTGAGCCATCTTGCTCTTGGGCCTGTTTTAGACAGACAAAATGCTTTTTAACACACCCCCAGCAGAATAACCGTCACTACTGCAACCCTCTAGGAATGTCTTATTTGTAAAGCTAGAATAGATAAAATTTAAAAAGTGTAAAATAAATTTAAAACAGGTAAAATATAATACAAAATATAACTCCTGTTGTTCATCTCCAACTAAAACTTTATTCTTTTTTACAATGGAATTCTTATCCCGTAGATCTTTAATCTTTTTTTTTTTAATCCATTTTTTTCAGTTTCACTTAATTACTTCACTTAACCACTGGATTAATTCCCATTTCTTTTCACAGGTATTTTGTGGCCATGAGTTTCACAGGGTAACTATGTTATCTTAATTGTATCTGGTGTATAAAATATTTATGTGGTACCACAGACTTTCTTGCAAGTTTATGCTATCACATGAGGAAAACACATGTTCTTCTAGAAAGATAACATACATTATTTTTCTTTTAAACTGGTTAAGATTTAAAGGGGGAAGCAGACAGAAGGGCACTAGCTGAATTGATGCAAAAGCAACAAAATTGATGTAATTTTTATTCTTTTAGGTCTTATTCCTTTTGGAATAGTCACTTTATTCTTAAGGAAAATTGCTCCCCCCTGTTTTATAGCTATCTGTACTCAAAATCTTTACAGTATATTAATATTCTTCCTTTTCTATACCGAATAAGACTTCAGCACTGGCCCTTTAAGAAAAGCTCCCTCTCCTAGCTGTCATTTTAAACTGTCTTCGGCCAATCCGCGTGCACCCCTGCCTTTATAAGCCCGCCTCCTCCTAGTCTCCAGAGGTGGCCGCCTGGGGCGCATGCGTACCAACGACGACCCTGCTCCGCTTTTCTGGATCCGAATTCGCCCAGGTGGTCTTGAACTTACCGAGTCAGGTAAGCGGCTCGCCGGTGGGGCGGAGAAGGCCCGGCACGGCGTGAGGAGGAGGGCCCTCGTTAAGGCGGCTTCTCCGCACCATCCGCGGACCTCAGCCGCCTCGGGAAGCGAACGCAGCCCCCCCTCCCGCCGCAACGGCGACCGTTCGCTAAACTCTGGCGGCGACTTCCGGTTGGTACGTTCCTGGATGAGTCCGGCGGGGAATCGGAGTCTGCGCACTTTGGTTCCCACCTCGGTTAATATACGTGAGCCTTAGATAGGAAGTTTCTTTCCAAATAGAGATTTATTACATTTATTTTATTAAATTCCTATGCCTTCCATCTCACTCTTCACCCACGGCTTTGTCGGGATTTACTTATTTAAATTTATTTAAATCTCTTTCAAGATTCCTGAAGCTGTTGGCTTTCTGAGCACCAGAAGTTAAAAATAGGAGATTTTCCTTTCCAATTTGAGGCTATTGTAACTGAGAAGGAAAGGTACTTATTTAAAAAAATAAAGCATTCAAAATAGTATTTCTGAGCTTTTGATTTAAAAAAGGTATTTAGCTGTTATGCTGGAGAGACACCATCTAAATAGGACTGATATTGCGTGGGATTTTGGCATATGCAAGCAGGGAGCCCCTTACACACCCTCAAACTGATGATATTGCCTTGTTGGGACGTGAAATGTCTGCAAGAAACTCAAAGAGCGCCAAGGACCCCACAGCCGTCCTCCTCCAACCCCACTTCATTCTAGCACTGATGATGTTGCCTAGTTGGGCAATGGAACGTCCGCAAGCAAACTGCCAAGCACTCAGGACTGCACAGAGAAGAGACTATTGATGCCATAGTCAGATTTTGAAAATTTATTAAAACCCAGATATAAAATTCTGCGCTCTCTCCATCGTCTATGTTAATGAGCACACATCTGTGGTCCCAGGAGGGCTGCCCTCCAAAATCCTAGTGAACCCATCACCAAATCCATCCGCCTCAACGAGGTCAGGCACTCTGTTGCACATGGGACAAAGGTGGTTGCGGACAGCGGATGATCGCATCCAGATAATCAGGTTCCTGCGCTCGCCAGAGGCAATGGGCAGTGCCCCGTGTAGCTGCCCTCCACGATGGAACAATCCGTAGTACAGCAGGTGTTCGACCTCAAGGTAATTTGGCACAGGCTTGGCATCCTTGAAAAAAAAATGGACAAAGATCACCAGGTTAAGAGCTGTTTCAGCAGTTGTGGTCTTCGAATCAAGGCAGTGGAAACTAGTGGTTAAGACACCCGGCTGGAAACCAGGAGATTGTGAGTTGTAGTCCTGCTTTAGGCACAAAAGCCAGCTAGGTGACCTTGGGCCAGTCACACACACTCTCAGCTCACTTCACCGGGTTGTTGTGAGGAAACTAGGAGGAGGAAGGGATGTTAGGTATGTTTACTGCCTTGGGTTATTTCTAAGAATAATACAGGCAAGATGTCAAGAAAATAACCAAAAGTTATAACCACCGTACACCCAGGTGATTATAGCTTTAATAATTCATAGATGTATAAAATAAGTACTACCTCGAGGTAGAGAAGGTCTCCAGCAGAGCTGAGAAAAGTTTGACTATTATAAAGACACCTGATCTCAAATCTGTCATATAGTAATTAATTGCCCATCCCAACTATGTTGATGTGAAAAAAGATTACAATCAATTGTACTAAGCTTGTATTTTAAAAGAGGCACCTGTCTAAATTCTGCAAAATAAAGGCTCCCTTCGGCGAACTCTTTCCCCAGGGAAACATTGAGGGTCACTTCCGCGTTGTCGTAATGAGTGTGCAAGTCCAGGTCTTCATGCGGTGCGTATTTCACCACAAAAGCTTTGTGGCTGTCCAGGCAGCTCCCTCCACAGTCCGGGTAAAGCAGCGCTGTCAGGGGTTGCAAATATTTCTCTCGCAGAGGTGTAAGAAAAGTTTCGTCCAGTCCAAGTTCATTCAAAAGCACCTGCCATAAATGTGAACAAGAAAGTAAGGGCCAGAAGATAAAAGAAGAAGAAAATAAAATGATGAATATTCTAGCAGAAGATTCAGGTTGATCTTTTTCCAGGGCTTTGAAAAAAAAACACATGTTTTTTATGATGTCAAGCATTAACGCTGTAGCATTGGTAATTGTTTTGTATTTAAGTGAGACAGGATAGAATGCAAGCAACCCTCTTTAATGTGAGAAAGTGCATTAAACAAAACTAATTCCCACATCAACGCCCCCGTTACATTCCCCATTTCTGCCATCTGCAAGATGTGCATCTCACCCCATAGTTATTCATAGAATTGGGTCTCCCCTTGGGCATCTCGGATTGTTCAAAATGTTCTAGCTCCTCAACAAAAGCTTCGCAGAATTCCTTGGTGAATATTGGCAACCGGTATATTCTCTTATCTGAAATAGAAGAAGAAAGTAACCAGGGAAGGGAATGAAGAAATCCACTTTATTGCCTATTAGTAATAAGTATATTTTCCAGCTGATAAAATAAACTAGTCCCATTTTTTTTGTTTTTATAGTTAAAGCTTAGAAGTTTGTGGACAGGAAGCCATAATTCAAGATTTTTTAATTTATTTGCATATAAAATGATGAATTTCCCCAATTGAATGGAACTTCATCAGCAAGGGCAAGAAAGATTCATCTGTGCGTGAGAATCTGAGCCTTTCCTGAGCCAAACAGTCGTAAGCTCACCCTGCAGGCTACTGATAAATGAACAGTGTTTTTACCTGATAAGGATTCCACACGGTGTAGGAGACCCTGGAGATCAGCATTTTGGGATGTGCAGTACTTGACGGTTTCTAAAAATTCCGGGTTAAAAAATGATTCCTACCATAGCAGGTGGGGATGAGGAAAGAACAAGAGAGACAGAATTGAACAGAATAAACGTTCCTTCTAATTAACTGGCCTATCACTTGCATCCATTTTTGGGGGGTTCCTGCCAGCGCTCTTAACTCTAGGGACTGGGAGCAGGTTGCCAGGCTGCATGCTCCCCCCTGCCCAGGTAAATTATCCCCCTACCTCAATCACAGGTAAAGGAGTTGGTATCAACATCTAGATTATGTGGTTTCCTCTTTGTCAGAAAAGGCTTTGAAGCCAAAAAGTTAGTCTCACTGCTTCATAATTAGCCTAAGTTTCCTCCCGCTTCCTCCAAGTCCTCTAGCATAAACCGATGTGCGAACACAACGAAACACATCCTTTACCTGTAAAATATATAGATGTGGGTGCTTTGGTCTGTAATTCTGAGAGATGATTGCTTTTCTTTCTCTGGACAGACGGTCCAATTCCTTTCTTCTCTGCACTTCATTTTCAACCTGCAACAATTCAATCTGACTGTTTATAAAATGTTAAGATTACGATATACTTTAACAGATACAAGGGAGATTTCCTCCTCGCTTTCTTGTTTACAGAAACAGTGAGAGGGTCTCATAAAATTCAAAAAGTACCAGGCCAGAAACTGAGTTCTAGTACACATAAATCTGTGGGTGATTTTTGGTCAGAGTCTCTTGCACCGCCCAACCCCCTCTCAAGAGGAACGGTGTGGGGAAAATAAGAGGCAAGAAAGCATTTTGTACACACTGCCTTGAGTTGTACAAAAAAGGGAAGGATACAATTATAGAATCGTAACCATCTTCCAGTTGTGTGGTTCTTTCAAGCTAATATTATGGAATAAGCCACAATTGCATGATTCTTCAAAATAATGTAACAATAAGAAGACTGAAATTCCACAATGGTGTGATTCTTCCAGGTGATATATGTGGATAGAATTATATAAGCATGTGGGCATATATACTATATATCAATATGCCTCACTAGATATGGATATAATTTAAGAATTATGCTGGTGTGATTATTGTAGCTGATATAAAGCAGCAACGATACTGTGGCGTAATCCATAATTGTATGTTTTTTCAAAATAAGGTAAGAATACTGAAATTCCAGAGTTCAGTGCAATTCTTCCAGCTGATACATACTGGTAATTATGTAGCTATGCAATGTGTGTATACATATATAAACATCTATTTTGTCTATGTACGTACGTGTGTAGATAGATAGATAGATAGATAGATAGATAGATAGATAGATAGATGAAGGAAGGAGGGGAGAGGAAGGAAAGGAAGTAAAAGAGAAGGAGAAAGAATAAAAAGAGCAAATGGGAGAGAGGAAGGAAGGAAAGAATGAAGGAAGGAAGGACTAATAAGGAAGGAAAGAAAAAACTGAGGAAGGAAGGAAGGACTAATGAGGGAGGGAAGGAAGGGCAGGAGAAAGAAAGGGAGAGCAAGTGGGAGGAAAGGAAGACAGGAAGGAAGGAGAGAAGAAAAGAGAAAAAGAAAGAAGAAAAAGGATTTTTTTTCTAATCAGGCTAGTGAGATTCTTCGGTTGAAAAGGGGCAGAACTAATGCAACCAAAGCCCGGAGGGGCTTCCTTCGCAGCCTCGCCCGCCCAGACCTCTCGAAGGACGGCCGCGAAGTCCTCCTCGCTCCTGCAGCCGCGCTGCCTCAAGACCTGCGGGGGAAAGAACGGGGCTCAGCAGGGCGGGGAGGATGGGGGCGGTAGTCCAGCCCTTCCCCTCCCTCCCATTCCCAACTGCGGGCGAGGGATCCTCCGCCGCCCCTCGGCTCACCGGCCCGTAGTCCCTCCGCAGCTGCTCGGGGTCGCCCCGGTAGCGCAGGTGGAGTCCGTAGCGCTCCACGAAAAGGTTGTCGGTGAGGAAACAAGCGCAGGCCAGGAAGCGGGACCGGCCCGGCCCCAACACGCCGCGCTCCATGTTGTCGGCCGGGCCCGACGGCGGACGGAACCCCGGTCGCCCGGGCAACGGGTCCGTCGCTCAAAGCGCCCCGGCCGCCAACCCGCGTCAGGGAGCGTCTGCAAATTACCCAGCGGCTCCAAAAGAGGACGAAAGCCAAGGTCGGAGCTTCTCTTCCAGCTCTGGAGCTCTGCTGCAGAGGAGCACAAACCACGGCCCCGAGGAAAGCGAGGAGCCCCTTTGGGCCGGGGCCAAGTCCATTTCGTGGGTCCCAAAAGAGCCTCCCAGCGGATTTATTTATTTATTTATTTATTTATTTGCAAGCCAGCCTGGGAAAATCTGCAATTTTGCCATTTGGAAGAAGGCAGCTGCCATTGCATTTTTTTCCCTAGAGGGCTCCTTTGTTTAAATGCAAAACTTTCTCAATAGGAATTTTTGTATACTGATGTGGGGAGAAAGTTTAATTGTTGAGCAGCAGTTAAATGCACTGGTTGGGGGATTCTGGGAGTTGGAGTCCACCCGTCCAGCCGGGCAAGAGTCTGGCTGCTCGGGACTAGAGGAATGAAGACCGCTTTGTTGCAATGGGAAGCTCCATCCTATTTGTCCAGGAACTTCAAGGGAATTCAACTCTACTCATCTTAAAAATTGCCAACTTTGGAGGAAAAATCCATTGCTAAAGCTTCCATTTGCTTCAATCTGGGTTAAGGATTAAGCCCCAGTTACCTGGGTTGACCCACCAACCATGGTGAATAGAATAGAATAGAATAGAATAGAATAGAATAGAATAGAATAGAATAGAATAGAATAGAATAGAAGAATAGAATAGAATTCTTTATTGACCAAGTGTGATTGGACACACAAGGAATTTGTCTTGGTGCAAATGCTCTCAGTGTATATAAAAGAAAAGAACATTCATCAAGAGTCAAGAATCATAAGGTGCAACACTTAATAATAGTCACTGGGTACAATAAGCAATCAAATCATATTTATAATCAAATATATAATCAAATTATAACTTAGCCAATGGCTACCCTCAAGAGGCTAAGCCACAAATCAGTTGCAATTTATGGGCGAATCCAGTTTCCGCTTTTGCTACCAGTTATACTTTTGTTCATCTCCCCAAAACTGTTTTGAGATAAGCAGTGAAGTGGCTGCTCAGCCGAGGGAGAAAAATCTGTCTGAATCCTGGAACAGATGGGTAGAAGGGAAGATCACTTCCCAGTCGTGCAGAAAAGGACGATGAGGGAGCAAATTCCACACTGCGCATTCATTGCCCTGAGTTGTGCAAAACAATCCTCCATGAATTCAGGGAAACAGCAAAAACTTCCCTCTCTCTGAACTGAACTGATTTTCCTTAGTGGGCTTAGCAGGGATATTTCTGGAGGCTGCATATATAATACAGTAACAGAGTTAGAAGGGACTTTGGAGGTCTTGTAGACCAGCCTCCTGCTCAAGCAGGAGACTCTATACCATTCCAGACAAAGGACTGTCCAGTCTCCTCTTTAAAACCTCCGGTGTTGGAGAACTCACAACTTCTGGAGGGAAGCCATTCCATTTATTTAGTCCAAAGACAAATTCCTTGTGTGTCCAATCATGCTTGTCCAATAAGGAATTCTATTCTATTCTATTCTTCTATTCTTTCACTTTCTATTCTGTTCTCTACTCTATTTTCGATTTTACTCCATTTTCTATTCTATTTTCTTTCATAATTCTATTTTTTATTCTATTTTCTACTCTTTTCTATTCTATGTTCTATTCTTATATTCTATTCTTTCCCTTTTTATTCTGTTCTATTCTCTATTTTCGATTTAATTCTATTTTCTATTCTATTTCTTTTTGTATTCTGTTTTCTATTATTTTCTTTCATAATTCTATTTTCTATTCTATTTTCTACTATATTCTATTATTTTCTTTCATATTTCTATTCTATTCCATTTCCTATTCTATTTTCTATTCTATTCTATTTTCTACTTTATTTTCTACTCTATTATTTTCTTTCATATTTCTATTCTATTCCATTTTCTATTCTATTTTCTATTGTTTTCTTTCATATTTCTATTCTATTCCATTTTCTATTCTATTTTTTATTCCATTCTATTTTCTATTCTATTATTTTCTTTTATATTTCTATTCTATTCTACTCTGTCAACCCTATTAATTGACAGTTTTTAATTAATTCTCTGATTAATTCTAAGTTTCAACCATGTCAAATGTGAACCCCCCTCACCCCAATGCCCCAAAGGCCCCGGACTCCAGATCTACCTAGAGCATCCCATCCTGGTGCAGACAGCAAGAAAGAGCCTTCCCCAAAAGCTTTGCAAAGCGAGGGGCACTTGTGCATCGTCCCTTACGCGAATGCAAAGCCCATCTGCACAGCTGCATTTCCTGGATAAAAGGACTGCGCTTCCCAGCTGCAGGCCAGTGGTCTCCAAACCCCTGCAGCCCCAGGCTCTGGAAGCCAGTCCCTTGCCCGGCTGGAGCCTTCCTTGCAACATGGACTCTGCCTTGCAAGTGGCCGAGGAAGAGGAGGAAGAGGAGGAGGTGGCCGACGAAGGGTCCTGCAGCCCCAAGAGCAAGTTTGAGGATATTTTCCGCCTCCTCTCCGAAGGCAGCTTTCCAGCCAGCTTCGGCTCCATCAAACGGAAGAATCTCAAGCGCTACGCCCAGAAATTCATTGTGGAAGGTGAAAAGAAGGGGGAGAAGATGCTCTGAGGGGGGGTCACATCTGCAGCTGCAGCAGCCCAAAGCTGGCAAGGAGGCACCGGGACATGGGCAGGGTTGGGGGGGAAGGATGCCGCCGCCGGGAAAGATGGGGGAAGGAAGGGGAGGGTGCAGAAGCTGCTGCCGCCGCCAGCAAAAGTCACCGTGGGATCTCCTCGTTCCTTCCCTCGAAAAGATCTGAGAGGCTTTAGACTGATTGGAGGTGATTTGGGTTTTAATCTGGAACTGAGAAATTCGAGTGGCATCATACCAAGGAAGTCATTCCAAGCAAGGTGGTTTTTTAAATTTTAAATTCAAGATGTTAGGTTCAGTAAATTTAAAACTGAATCTCTGTCCATCCTTCTCCTTTGGCTTCCCCTTCTTCTGCTTCTCCTCCTTCCATCCTTCTTCCATTCTTCTACTCCTCTTCCTTCTCTTTCCTCTTTTCCTCCTCCTCCATCCTCCTCCTCTCGCTTCTCCTTCCATCCTTCTTCCATTCTTCTACTCCTCTTCCTTCTCTTTCCTCTTTTCCTCCTCCTCCATCCTCCTCCTCTCGCTTCTCCTTCCATCCTTCTTCCATTCTTCTATTCCTCTTCCTTCTCTTTCCTCTTTTCCTCCTCCTCCATCCTCCTCCTCTCGCTTCTCCTTCCAGTCTTTCTTCCATTCTTCTCTTCCTTCTCTTTCCCCTTTTCCTCCTCCTCCATCCTCCTCCTCTCGCTTCTCCTTCCATCCTTCTTCCATCCTTCTACTCCTCTTCCTTCTCTTTCCTCTTTTCCTCCTCCTCCCATCCTCCTCCCCTCGCTTCTCCTTCCAATCTTTCTTCCATTCTTCTCTTCCTTCTCTTTCCCCTTTTCCTCCTTTCCTCCTTCCTCTTTTCCTCCTTCCTCTTCTTTCTCTTGTCCTTTTCCTTCCATTCTTCTCCTTCTCCTTCCTCTTCTCCGTTCATTCTTCTTCTCTTCCTCGTCTTCCTTTTCCTTCTTCCTCTTCTTCCTTTCCTCCTCCTCCTGCTCTTTCAATTCCATCCTTGGTCCGCTGGTTGGATCAACACCATTTCAAGGACATTTTATGGAAGGATTTAATGTAAATACATTAAATCCTTCCATAAAATGTAAAAGGGAACCAGTGGGGAGATTGACAGGTGCAGAATTACAGGTGCCCCTCGCATTAGACACGGTAACCGTTCACTGCACCCCGTTTTCCAAATTCTTTTTCCTTCTCATTGCATTTTCTCATTGGTGTTCCTTTTCTCCTTGTGCAGGAGGTTGCCTCTATTATGTGGGCCCCAAAAAGGAGGAAAAGCGAGAAGTGGTGGTTGACCTCAAACAGCGGCGGAAGGTCTTCCTGGAAAGCCACTTCACGGAGCTGGGGAATCACCTGGGCCAGAAGAAAACGGTGCACCGGATTCAGAGCCGATATTATTGGCTGGGTATTGTGAAGGATGTGGTAGACTGGGTAAATGTTTTTTGGCGGGGGGCAGTGGGGAGGAAAAACGGATTGGTTTAGGCAGAGAAACGGGTTGCTTGGAGCATTTTGGAGTCCCAGAGATCCAAAAGGAAGCCAATTGTTTGCAATGATACAGGGAGTCCCCGACTTAGGTGGTACGGTGTGAGTTTGAACCTGGGTAGAGGCAGATATGGGCACAATGAGAATATATCCGCTGAACATAATAACCCCACGCTGGTGACAGGAAGGGCATCCGGCCAGTAAAACACTCTGCTCCCAGGCTCCACCACCCCCCAAGGGATTATGGGATCATTAAAAGAGGATGATGAAGAGGTGGTGATGACGATGATGAGGGTGGTGATGATGATGAGGGAGTCCTCGGCTTACGACACAACGGAGGGCAGGATTTCCATTGCTAAGCAAAGTGAGTTAAGTGAGTTGTACCCGATGCTACGCTCTTGTCTTGCCTCGTTCTTAAGTGAGTCTGTGATAGTTGAAACAAATCATGTGGTCATTAAGCAAACCCAGCTTCCCCGTTGACTGCTTGCCAGACGCTGTCTGGGAAGGTTGCAAACAGGCGATCACGTGACATACACACGCTCCCAGGATGTTGCAACTGTCATAAGTACATGCCAGTTACCAACCGTCCAAATTTTGATCAGATGACCATGGGGATACTGCAACGGGCGTTTTTTTTTTCTACCTGTCCTTCCTCCAGATCAAGGTGTGTGAAACCTGCCAGAACGCAGAGCACAGCAAGAACCTTGCCAAAAAAATCCAGCCGCTTAAAGTGGAACTGCCCTGGGAAGTTGTGGAGCTGGATATTTATGGTACGTGCATCGTTTATTCCAATTTGTGTGGCTTTTAAAACACTGGGGAAAAAGTGTTTTCCCACTAGTGCAGGGTATTTTTTTTTTCCAGATAAACTCAAGCGTGGATCTATTTAGTTGCCACAGAAATTGATCGACGGGCTTGTCACCTGAGCCTGGCACCATGGGCTGAAAAGGAGTGACTGGCCCAAAGTCACCCAGTTGGCTTTCGTGACTAAGGCAGAACTAGAACTCACGGTCTCCTGGCGATTGGCCCAAAGTCACAAAGCCTGCTTTCATTCCCAAGGCAGAACT